AACACACTATTATTTAGAATTTTAATATACTGGTCTTCCCAGTGTCAATTGTGGTTGGTTTGGAGGAGATTAACCTACAGAGACAAACATTTAAAAGCAATGTTTTAATTCCGAAACATCTTTACTTCCTTTTTATACGTTTACAGTTATGGTTCAAAGTGTTTAATTGTTTTAAGTTGTTTCCTGTCAGGCTGGCACACTTCTGTTTTTTGGTGGGTTAGTATGGTCATGCCAATCTTTTTTTTCTATTTTGTGATGCACATGTGGTGTATGTATGCTCTAAATGTAATGTCTGTCCCATATTAGTCAGTACACACTCCCAATGTGTATAGCAACAGCTTTGCCACCTTTTGTGTGTGCTTTTTTTTATCATTTTTGTATCATCTGACCATGATAAATATAATGGTATATCTGGTTGGTCTGCATGGTCAATTTAACTGTTACACTTAAAGGGATAGTTCACTTTGAAATTAATTTTTGGTATGTTTTAGCTTACCTCAAGGGCATCCAAGATGTAGGTGTCTTTGTTTCCGCAGTAGTTTCAATTTTAATATTTTTTGGTCAAACCGTTCTTGTCTGTCAGTCATATAATGCAGGTCTATGGTCACCACCTCAAAGAGCATGCACAGAGAAGTCCAAATTAAACATGATTTAATGACTCGTAAATGTAAGTACACATTGATGGCCTAAGACACGAAACGAGCGGTTTGTGTGAGAAAACGAATGGTATTTATATCGTTTTTACCTCTTGTAACGCACAGACCGAAGCGCCCGCGCCCTCAGATCACTTGGACGTGGCTGTGTTTACAAGAGGTAAAAACGATATAAATACTGTTCGTTTTCTCACACAAACCGCTCGTTTCGTGTCTTAGGCCATCAATGTGTACTTACATTTACGAGTCATTAAATGTTTAATTTTTAGGTCAAATCAACGGTTTGACCTAAAAATATCAAAATTGAAACTTCTGCGGAAACAAAGACACCTACGTCTCGGATGCCCTTGAGGTAAGCTAAAACATACCAAAAATGTATTTCAAAGTGAACTATCCCTTTAATATAACCTCAGAAGCTTTGAATGACTGTTCAAATATAGGCTATATATTTCCATGTGTTTGTAGCTTTGTTTAATCATGCATGTATGTTTTTGCTTCGAGCAGGAATCGATAAAGAGAAGGTTGACCTGTCCCCTACCATGGGTCTGGCATCCAGCGGACGCACACGCCACGGTTCGGCCAGCCAGGTCCAGAAACAACGCAGCACCGGCAGTTTTAAAAGACCTAGCATCAAAAAGATTGTATGAGAACTGCAGCACAGCAGGGTTTAGCCCCTGCTGGACCTCTGACATACATTACGCTGCATTTTAGGCGGTTTCTCTTCACTCCTGCTAAACCCAGCGTTTACGGTAATCTTTAGGTTCTTCTAAAACGGTTCAGCCGTGTTTGCCAGGATCAAAATAAACTGAACGCCTCTGTTTAAACCAGTCACTGTTTGACACATGATGGGAGGAAGTCTAATTTTTTTTTTTTTTTTGCTTTGTTTGTGTGTAATAGAACATTAACTTTTTTTTTGATGGAATCACAGACATTGCCTGAAGGTGGCCTGAAGTGTATTATGTTTAAAAGCACTAATTTCCTTCTTAAATGTAATAGATGAAAGTATTAAATAAGTGCCATTCCTTTGTTCAGTTGTATTTGATCTTATTTACTTGCTGCGTTTACTTTTTTGTGGTCGTTTCTTTTAGGGCGGGAATGATTTTTCTTCCTGGAGAGTCAGCACTAATGCTGAAACATTTGCGAGCTCGCCCCTAAAACAAAAAAATGTACAATTGTTCATGTAGTATTTCAAGAATTTACCCTTTGTACCCTTTTGGACTTTATAGTACAAGAAAAACACCTAGAGGAGTTGCCGATCCATCCAAACTGTGATCTCTCAGTGTGGACTGCCTTTCCAAAACCCCACTTACTTTGCCAAATTAATTTGTGTGAATTTCTGAATTCTGATTGGCCATGCAGATCACAGTTTGGATGGATCGGCAACTCCTCTAGGTGTTTTTCTTGTACTATAAAGTCCAAAAGGGTACAAAGGGTAAATTCTATCTGAAATGTTATTACCACTCAATCAATGACAACTCTTGTGGTGGTGATAATCTGTCAGTTTTGGATTAGAGGGGAAGGTTTGAAGATCAAATCTAATTACAGTTTTACAGGAAAAATAGCAATCATCTGAAAAAGCATTCAGATATAAAGAACCGAGAGAGACAACCAAGATCTCATTGGGTTACACTATGGCTACGTTCACACTGCAGGCTGAAACGACCCAATTCCGATTTTTTTGCCCCTATGCGACCTGTATCTGATCTTTTCATGACAGTCTGAACGACACAGATCCGATCAGGAGACAGTCTCCCGACACAGGAGATCACAAAAGGTCGCATTTAATTGGAAATGTGAACGCCTTGCAAAAAAATCGGCAACTTAAACAAAGAGAGATTTTAGAAAATGCTGTTATAGGGACAATTCTCAATCTCTTTTCAAAGTTTACTTTCACCTTATTTCTTAATGTTTTCTTTCTTTTGGTCGGTGAACTGTAACATTCTGGGTTCGGCAAGACTGTACCGTCCAGTGCAACAGATTTTCTTTACTGTTCGTGTAAATGTTATGCCATGTGTTTGTGTTTTTGTTTTATTTTTCTTTCGATTTAGATCCAAACTTGAAATCAAACTTTTATCCCTACCCCATATACAATGGTGCCATTTTGACTCTTGGACATGTTGAAATGTGTGTATTGGGGGCAGTTTTATTTTTTATTTTTTTATTCTTCTAATCTTAAATTGCTTTCACATTGGTACGTCTTAATGTCAAAAAGGTCAAGTGACGAATGGGTTTAGTAATGGCAGACAGATGGATGTTTCAAACACTACGTTTTTTTGGCACTTGAGGTTATGCAAAATTTTACATAATTGTTCTCCTTTAGTTTCCTTTTTTTATGCCGAGAGCTTCACCTCTGTAAATATTTTTTTGTGTAAAAATAGAAAAAGTATATTTACTACACTGTAAATACAAGTGACTATGACATTGTATTATTTTGCTTTTTGTAAAGCAGTTAATTACTGAATATGTACAACATAAAATATTAATTGTTGTCTATCAATCATGTTCACTGCATTGTCAATTAACATGGAGGAAATATTGAGGGTTGCACTGAAGATCGAAATCTTTGTGTCCTGGACCCTCTTTATAATACATTATTGTTATCATCTGATTTCATATTCACAGATGTAACACTAATAAAGTCAATTTCTGTCCATCATTGTGTATGTTTTATGGCTTGTTAAAAAGCTCCCTGCTTATATACAGATCACATCTGAAGACTACACTGAAGATTAGTATGTGGAGCTATACATTAATTATATTCACATTATAATGTGTAAAAAAAAATACTGAAATCATTTGCATACTTGTAATTTCTAGAAATTTTAAAAATAAATCTGGACGGGGTATTTTTTTTATATTTAGTAAAGTAAAGATAACCTGTGTGCAGACAAAATCGACCTCAGTGTGGCAACTTGTACACGTTCATATGGATACATTATTACTTTACATAAACACAACAACAGTACATAAACTTTTCCTTCTGTTTACATATGAAATCAAAATGTTAAACTAAAAAAGCTATATAAAAGGTTACTTCGTTAATGATAAACAGCCTTATCAATCTCACGAGTGTTCCACAGTTTCCCGCCTTTCAGCTTGAGCGGGAGATCCCATGACAACAGGCCACACACTTTCTCAATCTCAATCACTTCAGACCAATTAAAACTGTTCAGCGTTGTAATTGTAGTGTAATTGTTTTTTGTTTGTTTTGTTTTTGTAATTATGTACTAACTACGGTGAATGTTATATTATGCATTGCCTTGAAATACATAGGTTTTAGTCAAGTTTTTTTTTTTTTTTGGATAAATTCATTCATTCATTAATCTGTCAGGAACACACGTGCGCTTCCGTGACGTCATACACATACATACACCAGCGCTGCCGAGCTTCACGGTGAGCAGAAAGACATCAAACACCGGCTTCTTTTATTATATATGTGGAAAGAAGGTCTCTTTCTTCTTGATTTTTTCGCTTGTGATTTAAATGCATCAATTGGATTTTTAACATGCTTTCACACTAAAACAGATTAAGATCCCATAAAGTTGAAATTGCAGCGTGATTGAAACGCCAATAAATGCGTTTACCTAGAAGTTTCTTAATTCATGTTCGCTCTGAATTTGATAGCTGTGTTTGTGTGTGTGTGTGTGTGTGTGGCCTGGTAAACCCTACATTGTGGGGACATTTTTTGGTCCCCATGAGGAAAACGGCTTATAAATCATACTATTTATGTTTTTTTTATATATGTTTTTTTGAAAATGTAAAAAATCCAGAGTTTTCTCTGTTTTCTGTGATGGGTAGGGTTGGGATAGAATATACAGTTTATATAGGATAAAAATCATTATATCTGTGGAAAGTCCCCATAAAACATGAAAACAATATGTGTGAGGAATTGTCAACACATTCATTTTTTTCAACCCCATAAGCTAGCCTACTTCTTTTTGCTTCTATGGCTGATGTCACTGATAGAGCATAAAAAGGTTATAATATCTCCTTATATATAATATAAGATTAAAAATAATATCTCTTATTAACATGTTCACTTTAAAAAGAAATCTAACAAAAATTGTGATTGGTCTTCTTTCTTGCATTTTTTTGCTATTTGGGTTGTGATTGTTGGTTTTCTTTTTTGGCACCTTTAAACTGCAAACACATTGTAATGTTATATTGATATTTATATACAAACAGAAAATAAGAAGTTTGGTGAATGTCATGGTGACAGCTGTATTTAAGAGGGCCGCATGTGTTTGTGTGTTACTGGGATATTTGAGCTGGTAATGAGATTGCTCTGGTTCAGTCTTCTATTGGAGAAGGGTTGGTGTCAAGACTCACTCCCCCTCTGAGCTCAGACGTCTCTCCTTACAGACTAATGCCACCCAAGACTAGGGATGGTTATTAGATGTAGCTGACCTCTCTCTCCCCTCTCTCTCTCTCTCTCTCAGTGGGATCTGTGGAAAGAGGATGTTGCTGTCGTTTAGGCCGCTGGCCTCCGTCTCTGTGTTGACTCTGCTAGGCTGGTGCTGGTACAGCTTTAGGAGGAGGAGGACGACAGCTCCTCTCTGGACTGAAGAGGAGGTGTGTTTTTCGGACAGAAGCAGATCTGTTCACTCCTCTCCTGCTGACTCCAGTATTTTGGGTGAAAGGTCAGTAGCAGAGCATTTATGACTTGAGTCCTGTTTTTTTTAAGGTTGTGACTTGATTAGCCACAGTTTTAAGTGATAAAATAAGTGATAATATCTTCTAATATTAATTCTTCTCTACAAATATATGTTATTTGAGCTTTAAACCAAACTCCAGGGCTCCAGGGACCCCCAAGAGGTTACAACAAGTGGTCCAATGTCTGCAAATGTTGAGATTATTACAATTTTTTACAAAATATATTTTTAGGGAATGTTGCCCTAAGATATTAATGAAATATATTTAACATCATATTTTTGTTATACAAATTGAATAGTAACATTTAATTTTGCTTTCTGAAGACTATAGCCTGAAATTAATTATGATTATTTCATTGTATTTTTCCAATTTCAGTTTATTTTAGCATTATTTACAATACACATTATTCCAAAACAGCTACATGTTTAGCATAGAAAATGATCATCTCAAATATGCTGTCAACTTAATAAAAAAATAAAAAGTATTTAATTTTGGAAGCAGATTCTTCATTTTGTTCATATACAGTAGCTGCCTTTTTATTGTGGAAAGGGATTATATCCGTGGGTCTTTTACAGCAAAATATTTCAAAACCTCTGGTCTAAATCATCCTTTAAGCAGTGTGACTAATGTTTCCATTGTTGAAGAATGGAAAATCTTGGTTTATGCCAAGTTATCCTGAAATGTATTTTGACCTGTCAAAGTAAGTCACCTTCAGAGAATGGACAGATTTGCTTTTTCCAGAGTGAAGACAGAAACTGGACTGATTATTTTTCTTCTCTTACAGTGACCTAAAAATGGACCACAACATCTCAGGATCCTCTGAAATCAGCAACTTCACAGATTCTTCACCAGTTCTCGACATGTGCAAACTTACCTGCACCTCCCCCGTAACAGGCCTCACCAAGGGAGTTCGACCTGAGCCAGAAGGAGAAGTATCTGTTCGTTTCCCTGAGACTCTCCAAACTGGGCAAGAAAAGGACAACATTGCTGGTGAAGGTCATCCAGACTGCAGAGAAGTTAGTGAAGATGACTCTGGGCTTGAGTCTGATCTGGTTTGTCTCTCTTCAAAATGCCTTTCCAACGACTCTCAATCTTCAACGGGGAAACAGCCAGGTTCTGTCCACTTTGACAGTCATGATAGCAGCAGCCTGTCTGATTTCTCCACTGATAGAGGCTTGAACCCAGAGAACTTGGAAAAGATCAGTTCTGCTCTGGTCCAAGAGATCATAGAAGCTGCGGCAGAGGACTGGAAAAACCAGGAACCCATTGATCCACATGAGCTTGCCAGTGTTTCAAAACCTCTGGAGGCTGAATTTCAGTCTGCTGCTCAAAAACCATTTCAGCAGCAAAGCATCAGCGGTGACGTATATCTTCAGGACGCCGTCTCATTCAGGGAGAAACTACTCAGCCATTTAGGAGCTTCTGTTGGAGATGATTCTGGATGTGGTTCTTGCTTCTCAGAGGATGCATCCGGTGCAGAGCTGTCTGAGGAGGGCAGAGGCTTTTCGATGACCCCCACAGAAGCTGACATAGTCCGCATTGAGGACAAAATGATTCCCAGCATCCACGGTGTAGCAGAGGAAGAAGAGGAGGCGTGGAGAGGTACGTGAGACATTTACTTTCAAACTCATGAAATTCTGCTCCTGTTTGATCATTGTGAAATGAATTAACTTAAGCAGCAAAAACAGTTTTCAATATAGTAATAAATATCTCTTGAGCAGCAAATCAGCATATTAGAATGATTTCTGAAGGATCATTTGAGACTGAAGACTAGAGTAATGATACTAAAAATTTCAGCTTTGCCATCACAGGAATATACTGAAACAGTTATTTTAAATTGTAACAATGTTTCACAATAGTACTGTTTTTACTGTGTTTTTTTTTAATCAAATGAATGCAGCCTTGATAAACATAAGATACATTTAAAGATTTTATTGATTCCAAACTTTTGACCAACTTTTTGATATATTTATTTGCCTGTTACAGCTATCTGTAAAAAAAAAGAAAAAAGAAAGAAAGATACAAAATACATATATTTAAGTCAGACAGATGCTTCAATCACAAAGCAGTAAAAATATCTCAGTGTGTTACATTCATATGGATCTTGTCTCCAGGTTCAGGTGATATGGGTTTAAGCTGCATTAGTGCCGATACTCCTCCGGCCCAGCCCATCATTCTTTGGGACATAGAGGTGCCAGCGGTGAGTCCCACACACAGACACTCCCACATGCTGATATTGATGGAACATTAGCCCATTTATTACATTTGTGTATGAACGTGTTCGGAGATGCACCACAGCAGAGAAAAGATACGTGATCTTGAAGTACTAGACTCTCTACAGAAGAGCTCAAGTTACAGGACATATGAAGACCTTTATACTGTGTGTGTTTGTCCATTGAGGATTGTATTGCTGATATAAGGAGAGTGACAGGAAGACTAGTTTTCTGTATGAGGAAGAATTGTCCTAGATTTAAAACTGTCATTGCAGCATCTGGTTGGTCGATTGATCGGGAAGCAGGGAAAATTCGTGAACTTCCTCAAGCAGAGCTCTGGAGCAAAGATCTACGTCTCCACCCTGCCGTTCACTCAGGAGATTCAGATCTGCCACATCCATGGTGAGTTTTCCCATGATGATGGCTACCTAATCAGTGCTAAAGCCTAGCGCTGAATTCATGTGTTTGTGTTCGTCCAGGCTCACAGCAGCAGGTGGATGATGCTCTCTCGCTCATCAGGAAGAAGTTTAAAGATCTGGATCTGAGTAATTGTATCCCTCTGCCCTGCCTGCCTATCACATCCTGGGTGAGGACTCTTAAAATCTTGACATCATGAGCATCATAAAAAGTTCTTATGATTAATGTGCTATATTTCAAGTTTTGTGTGAGGCTCCGTTTTGTATATTCCAAATTCTGTGTGAGGAACAGACTGAAATTTAAGTGGAGAATATGTGCCTTAAGACACATCACACCAAGTTTGACGCCAGCAACATCAAATATCCTGACATGGTGTGTTTTGAGGTGGTAAATCTTAATGTATGCCTTGTGTGTGTTGTTCTGTTGTCTCTGTAGCTGCTGCTGCCTCAGGATGTGTTTGTGGAGGTGATCGTGTCGCAGATGGAGGCGGGTCTTCACCTGTTCGTTCAGCAGCACAAGCATCCATCTTATCAGGCCCTTCCCACCCTCATTCAGCACATGCAGCTCTGCTACTCTCAGCCGGGATGTCCCAGCCTGCCCACCCCTGTCGAAGGTATATAGACCCCTACTCAAACACACAGATCTCCATGTTGGGTTTCACAGACAGGGCTCAGATTAAGCCAGGATTAGGCCTAAGTTCAATTAGGGCTTTTATAAATTTGCTTTAGAAAAAAAACAATGGTGCTGTTGCATATATATGGTATAGTTGCTTTTAGTTAAAAAAGCTCAAACATGCATTTTAGTCTGAGACTAGGTTTAAGTCTTGTCTGTGAAACAGGGGGTAAATGTTTTATATTCACATTGACGTTTATTAATTTAGCTAGGAACAACGCAACATCTGTCTCCACCATAGTTTAGTCTTTATTCTTGTTAGCTTGTCTTTTATTTTTTATCGTTGTCTTCCTTTGCTTTTATCTCTCTTTTAGAACCAGCATAGCTTTACTGGAATGACTTTCAGATTTTTAGAATATTAGTAAATTAAAACACTAGGAAATGACACAAGTATGGGAATTATGTAGTGACCAACTTCTTGACGTCTATCCTGGGACGCTTTTTAGACCGTATTGAAATAATTCTCTTTTTGGTCCTGACGGCATCCCTCCTTGGATGTTAAAGACCTTTCATGAGGAGCTGGCACCGGTACTATGTGATATCTTTAACATGTGCTTGCAAAATAATATTTTTCCAAAACAATGGAAGGAGGCTATGGTCAAGGCTGTTCCCCAAAAAAACAAAGCCCAGTTTTCCAACAGATTATAGGCAGATTTCACTACTCACCTGTGTTGGAAAAGTGTATGAAGGAATCCTCAGAGATGCCATTTTGGAGGATACAGTTGCTAAAATTCAACCATCAACACATGGCTTCATGGCAAACAGATCCACTGACACTGCACTGATTCATATTCTGCAACACTGGCATGAAGCACTTAATAATAGCAATCCTAAATTGGACATTCATGCCGTTTTTGTTGATTTTACTCGAGCTTTTGACACAGTTGATCATTGTCAACTGCTTAATGCTTTAGCTGACATGAATGTCAGACGTCCACTTTGGCTCAGCGTAAGGAGCTATCTAAGTAACAGAGAGCAAAAGGTGAAGTGGGGCTCCTGTGTGTCTAACTCCTACCCAATTTCAGCTGGTGTTCCCCAGGGGGGACTTCTATCCCCTCTGCTTTTTGTAATCTCCATAAACAGCTTGGATTCCCGCCTGCCTCCTTCAGTAATTCCGGTGAAATATGCTGATGATTTAACAATCACTGAACTTTTAATGGGATCCTTACCAGGGTTAACACAGAAGGCCTTGGATTCAGTGGCGGAATGGGGACATGAATTTTCATTGGCAATGAATGGAGGTAAGACAGTGGACATGGTCATTAGCGCCAGGAAAGACAAAAACATTCCCTGCCCTTCCTCTCCTGTAATATCAGGACATCTAATTAGCAGAGTTTCCACCTTTAAACTACTTGGAGTTCAAATTTCTTCTGATCTGTCGTGGGGCGCACACATTAAGTACATGATTTCGAAGGTGCGTCCTAGAATCCACTATCTCTGTGTTGCTAAAAACGCGGGTCTCCCATGTGATGTTTTAATGAAAATATATTTGACATTTATACGGCCGGTTCTTGAGTACGCTAGTCCAGTATGGGGTGGACTACCAAAAGGTCTCTCTGATGAGTTAGAAAGGGTCCAAAAACGTTGCTGTCAGATAATAGGTGTTCCAACTTCTTCTCTCCCATCACTGAGTGAGAGGCGGGACGAGGCCACTATACGTACTTTTACAAAACTACTCAAGGACCGTTCATCACCACTGCATTGTTTCCTGTCTGTGGCTCCAACACCTACTTACCTACTACGGCAGCGTAGAGAACTTATTGTGCCCAGGAGTAAATCAAAAAGACATGAACTTTCTTTTATTCCACGTGCTCTTAAACTGTTTTATAAATAACTTGCAGGTTCTGCTTGTATGAAGCCTGATTTCAGGTTTTTGTATGCATCTGTTTTACTCCTTCTGTTTTTTTTTTCTTCTTTTTTTATTTTTATTTTTAACTTTTTAATTAGGTATATACGGTTGTCTTGAGTATGTGTTCTGTTTGATACATTTCAGGGTTTTGTCCTTCAATATCCTGCCTTGTCAAACTCTTAAATAAACTAAACTAAACTTTTTCTCACCAAAGCTCTATTTAAATTAATTTGTATTAAAAACAGTTATATTGTGAACTATTAATACGATTTAAAACAACTGTTTTCTTTGTTAATATATTTTTAAATGTCATTTATTCCTGTGATGGAGCTGAATTTTCAGATGCCATTACTCCAGTCGTATCATTAATTCCTTTAAAGTTGTGTATGTATGCACAATATATACACACACGTGTGTTTTGTTTCACTATATCAGTGAGGACAATGCATAACTTCCATTGATTTTATATCAGGTTAATGATATTTCTATCGCCTTACCCTTAAACACAACCCTCACAGAAACATGTACACTAGATTTAAATATAAACATGTTTTGCCCAACTTTTTATGGTTGTCATATTTCACTATATAAGGACATTTATATATGAGGACATTTGGCCATTACATGTATAGCCAAATCAACACACACACACACATACACACACAGCATCGATGATAGTAAATGTGCTGTATGTAATGAATTGTTGCTCAAACTGTGGCAAGATCAATTATAATGAGGGGTTATGAAGGCAGTGTGATCATCTCCCAAAATAATTAGAATTGCTTGTTGTCATCTAGTTGAGGAAGTCTATTTTCTGTCTTTCTCTGTTAGGGGGGGTGGTCTGTGCCGCTCCAGTAACAGGAAGTGGCTGGCAGAGAGCCCAGGTCATCCAGTACTGCATTGAGTCTGGTATGGCTCATATCAGATATGTAGATAATGGAGGTTATGACACCGTGAACAGCGCCACCCTCAGGCAGATCAGGTCAGGTGGCTCAAGTTTGGTTTGATCCTTTGTCTGTGATTGTTGATCTGAATCTGATATTTGAAGATTTTGTTTTCACAGGTCAGACTTTGTGACATTACCGTTCCAGGCAGCAGAGGTTCTGTTAGACAATATCACGCCTTTGCCAGGTAAAACATGTTACTTTCTTTGATGTGCTGCTGCTCATGGATATCAAATCATAAATACTGAATTATGATAAAAATGAAAGCAATTTATTTGCTTTGAAAGGAGAGGAGGAGTTTTCCCTGGAGGCCAGAGCAGCACTGGAGGAATTAACTGCAAATATGGCCTTAATCATCAAGGTTATAACAAACAAACACATTTTTCCTGTCAGTTATTCCTGTATAATACTGTATATAGATTATTTCCACTGTATTGTATCATTTCACTTGGCAGCGGATTCTCAAACTTTTTTGTCAGCTGAACCCGTTTGAGATAAAAATTTACTTGAAATACCCCTAGCGATTAAGTTTTAGTTATTTAATAACAACACATTCGCATCTCCACGGTCAATTTATGGTCACATGACATACAGGTTAACAAATACAATATTTAAAATTGAATTGCTTTTCATCAAGTCACAGTTGACAGTTTGAGAAACTGCACTGGACGATCAAAAACAGCTCAGAGGAACTTTTTTGTTGTTGTTGGAAGAATTTTGAACGTGACAGATGTTGTTGTCTTTGGTCAGGTGACAGGCAGTCAAGACGGCCTTCCTCTGGTGCACATGTGGAAACAGATGGAAGTTGAGGTGTGTATGGCTAATTTTTCTTTACTAGATCCTTACATTTCAGCTTTAACTTGTGTGTGTGCTCTGTGTGTCTGCAGGTGGTTCTGCTGAACAGATTACTGGCTGAACAAGGGTTTTGCACCTGGTTTGAGACACAGTGATGTCGCAGCTTTTCGCTTATCCTCTCCTGAACTCCATTTCGCACAGTACATTGATTTCCACTTTTTTTTTTTTGTATGGTGATTTTGTTTGATTTTTGAAACATTCTCTTTAAATGTTAGTCTTTAAAGGTTAATATTATGCTATTTTTTGTTATTTAAAGGATAATTGAATTAAGTTATTTTTCCAGAATGCATTGCAGAGTAAATGTGATATGGTAAACCAGCTGCTTATGTGAACAGTTGCTAATATTGTACTGTTTTCTAAGATTGTCTCTTGAATGCTGATGGTTTGAAAGATTGTGTTGTGCTCAGGTATTTTGATAATGAATTATGTAGATTTTATTTTGTAGTAATTTACAAATATTTGTTCTTTTCTTGGTCTTTGTATTTTGTTTTCTTTCTGTAAGATAAGGGTGGGGGCAGTGTGGGGCTCTTTGACTGTAAAGCATTAAAGAACTGCGGCAGTGAAGAGCATCATGAAACCCTGCTGAAATGAACTTGTACGGTTCACTGCTCTGTACTCTCACACTGACGCTGCCAAAACATCTCACTGAGTAAAAGGTCTGTGGGTATCACAAACATGCTGTGCTTTTTACTCTTCCTTGTGCTGATGCTGACTTTGCCTTACATTTAAATCAATATGCAGCTTAAAAGTTTACAAACCACTTCTAGGATCTGAAAATTGTTTAGCTTTTTTTTTTTTTAAAACAACCAAAAAATCCTTTTCTTTTAGTACTGCCCTTAAGAACCTGCATAACAGATTTTGATAGATAAGGTTAACTTTGTGTTTGCTGCTTGAGTATTTCAGTGTCACCTCAGAGTTGCTGGGGAAAGAAGGATATTCGGCTCCATATCATCTTTTAATGCATGGTTTACTTCCCATTTTTAATAACAAGGGAGGCTAATTTGTATTAGTACATTCATCTTTTTGTAAGTAATTAATTATTAAGTTCCAGTCCAGAGCAATAATGTCTGTTGTTTTAAACCGTGAAGGGCCACTCTGCAGAGTTTAGCTCTAACTTGCCTCAACACACCTGCCTGGAAGTTTCTGCTATAGTAAGACATTGGCTGCGTCCGAAATCGCATACTCCCTTGAGCAGGTACCTAAATCCTCTCTTGTGGCCTCATGGGATTGTAAAATGTCGTATGCACACTTCAGATTCTCACTGGAAGAAATGGGTCATCCAGGTACTTTTTGCCAACTCTTTTCTGAGTACTGTGAATTCAGACATATTTCTTTTTTTCATGTACTATATAGTAGGGAAGTATGGGACTTCGGATGCAGACCTTGGATGAGCTTGTTCAGGTGTGTTTAATTGGGATTGGAGCTGAACTGAATGTGGCCCTCCAGGAGCTGGCACCCATTTTAAACCATGTCTGATTTCTTCAAAATGTTGTAAAATTTCCCTAATAGTTAAAAGGAGTTTAAGAAATCCATACTCTGGCTGTCTAAGAACAAATTACGTGCACCTGCTACTTCTGGCCAACAGATGTCACTCAGTGTAAAGCTTTGAATGGCTGGTTTTTGAGTAGGTGGTCGGGATAGTGTTTATTTTTAAAGCAATATTATAAATCGATAATATTCGTCTAACAAATATTGTGGAAAGAATCTAAATGTATATTTACTTTTTTTATATATATATATTGCATATCTATATGCAGGTTGATCACTAACGACTACTAGTCTGGTAAATACATTATGCAGCAGAAAAATGTGGGTGTGTGTGCATATATATATATATATATGCACACACACAGCATAGATATATATATATATATATATATATATATATATATATATATATATATATATATATATATATATATATATATATATCGTGTGTATTTATTTACCACACAAGTAGAGTCATTAGATGTGATCAGCATGCATATAGGCCTACATATGAAGTAAATATATATATTTTTTTTTTTTTCACACACTATTTGTAAGAATTTATCAATTTATATCCTTGGTTCTAAAAATAAACACTATCCCGACTATCCCTGTGGTGCTCAACAGAGAAACGGATCTAGCTGACTGTGCAGCCATGTGAAAGATCCCGCAGCAAAGCACATTGTAGAGAAAAGGTGACTTCTATTGCAATAATTTGCATGAAATATCATGGGAAAGTGTGCTGAAATGGGCTGAATATTTAAAGTGAGTGGTGACATTCTTCAATAAACATGCAGAAAAGCCCCTGTATTTGGCCCTGCTCTCATATCTGCCTGCCGCAGGGGGTCTGATTGGTTTGCTCTGAGGAATCTGAATGCCACAGCTGATACTGTTGCATGTATCATTCTCCAGTCTTAACTTTGAGATTTCTATTTCTCTAAGCAGAAAATTCTCTCATTTCCCAGCGTGCCCTGATGAATGCATATTATCCTAAAGAGGCGCAGTGATCTGTTAGGCAGCTAACAGATGCACAGCATTAAAAAATGAGACTTTCAGTAAGTAGAAGATCCACTCATTAATCAAACACAGATGCCGCTGTGACTGTGGGTCTCCCTCACAGATTGGACTCATATAACTTGATGCAGTTCCTTTTCCTTGATACAGAAAAATACTCTTGACTCCAAATATCAAAAAACTCTCTTCAATGTCCCCTTTACCAGCAGAAGTCATTGTAATATCAAATATCAGAGTTTGAACATCAATTTATGTCTGCTTTTCGGGACTGGAATGGGTTTGAGAAAGTTTATTAGAACATAAGCAGCGTGATCTATGAATGACCCGTTGTGTTTAAGTGAGTTAAGAAATTATTGTCTGGTTCAAGAGTTCTTATTTGGCCACAGTGGGAGAAGCAATGCTCTTGTTTTCAACAGTAATCTGGTTCTGTGAAACTAGAGCTGCAGTCATTTGATAAACGTCCTATTTGAGCATTTCCATATCAATGAAGTCAGCAGATGTCACACTAACACTGATCTATCCATTCTGCATGCTCACTCAGCAAAGTGAAGCGGAGAAAGGCTCAGAAATACATTGCCTGAATGTGTGGGGGTGTCAGAACCCTCCAGGAAAATTAACATACATACCAAATGATGTCTTAGGGTTATGTTTAGGGATAAACAATATTATCAGCTCAGTATAAAAACAAAATAACTGGAAAGTCCCCACCATAGAAAAACAGACATGCACATATATTCCGTGTTTTATACAGTATAAGCTCCAGTGTTATTTTAGTATTATTGATATACTATTATATAGTATTTTTTTTCCCTTTTTTTCATTGTAATTTTGTTGTGTGTTATTGTCTTTTTTATTAGTTTACGTTTTTTTAATGTCTATATAGTTTTTTTATTAGGTTTTAGTTTATTTAGTTTATTTAAACTAAATGAAAAGGAGAAATGTCACCTTGGTAACAAGCTGAAATTAAATAAAGTTAAATCTTTTTATATTTTATTTTATTTTAGCTAATGATTATTATGATATAAGTAGCCTAATGAAAATGTTTTTTTTTTATGGTTTTATTGATAGTTAACAATAACCAAGCTCAGTGCTGAAAGGTGCCAACAGAATGAAATTACTTTTAAGAGAAAAAATAGAATTCCAAAACAAATTTGATCATTTAAATTGTATTTATCTCTGTGCACTATGTACATTCCCTTATTAATTTTGTGGGGATTTATGACATTTCCACTAATAATAAGTTGTCGAACCAAAATGACAAACATGACATAATATGCTATAGGCCTAGTGCCACCAAGAAAATACTAGATTGTTGTTCAATTTTGTGAACTATTGTGCTTCATTTTAGTTTTAAATACTCGTTTTCTTTTCCAGAAAGCCTCTTGGTTGTATTTATTCAAAAGGTGGCGCAAATGTAAACTTTATAGGGTTTAAAGAGCCTACTGAAGAACTGAATGCACTCTCGTGGTTCCTGTCAAACGCTGCTAACCAACAGGGGGCGTGGTTTCCATAGATAGGTAGGCACACATCCCCGCCGGATTGGTTGGCTGATGCTCTCAGTCACGCCCCCTGCTGAGAGGGGCGGGAGCGCGCGCTGATCCCACGTGTGACGCTAGCGCTCCCGGTTCGGTAATATTCCTTGAGCTGGGGCTGCAGTGCCCGTGTGTGTGTGTATGCGTGTGTTTGGAGTTGGTTGGGCTTTGAGCTATGGAAGCGGACGCGAGTCAAGTCACCTCTGGAAGCCCGAGTGATTCGCTACACGACCCGGGGTAAGAAGACAGGACAAGTGCGCGCGCGCCCTTGTGTGTGTTTGGAGTTTGATTCTGTTTTCAGCGCGAGCGAGCGCATGTCCTTCCTCGCGCAGTTCTGCTGATGTTTTAATTGACAGGTCATATCTAAGGCTCATTTCAGCCGGTACACAGCTCAAGCTGTTCGTAGCTCGCTCTTTATGAGTTATTTACAAGGAAAATGGCCGTTTTGACATCTGGAGTCACTTATACCATTTTTTCTCCTTACAGTAAAATGTTTATCGGTGGCCTCAGCTGGCAAACCTCACCAGGTAAGGATAATTTATTCTGTTTTGGAGTTGTTTTGCGTCATATTTATCCATCGCACGCTTTGGAAGCTGATTGTGTGTATGTGTGTCACTGCGCACAAGGTTATTGTGATTTTCAGTCATCTGACACTAAAGCGAGCGACGCGACAAAACTTAAACGCTCTCATCATAATCAACGAAGTGTGAAGCGCGCGACCTTCGTTGATTATAACGGCAGCGTGCAAGCTTAAGAATCGCGTCGCTCACTTGAAGTGTAGACACGGTGTAACCCTCTTGTGTCCTTTTGTTTGTGTTCAGACAGCCTTAGAGACTATTTCAGTAAATTCGGGGAGATCAGAGAATGTATGGTGATGCGCGACCCCACCACCAAACGCTCCAGGTAAACACACGTGCTTCAATTTCTCTGTTTTTCGCTGTCTCTATTCTGCTGTCTTATGAAGCGTTAAGGGTAGACCAAGAAGAACAGGACAGAAAGCTGATTCATAATGCAATTTGACATTGAGTTAGGACTGTACTGCTAGAAAGCGATTCCCTATTTTCTAAATTATATTTCAAAAGACAAAGTACATTTGCAAATATGTGACAGAGCAAGGCAATGCACATTATATGTGTATATCAGTCTTTTCCTCATAATTCTGCAGCGGTGAATCCATTACATCCCTATATTGGGGAAGTGACCCAAATAAAGCCACTAGCCTTATAAGCCCATTTTTGTTATATTTTGAAATACAAAGTCAAAGCATGAGAGAAATTGTTTCTTAGCAAATGCAAAATTTTCTGATTTTCTTTTTGTTTGGAGCCAATTGAGTGTTCAGTTATCCAGGATTCTTTGCTTCTATCTGATACTGTAGAAGTAGCATAAAAACTTTGCTGTTCTGAGATGTTTTTTTTATAGAATCTGGTGATGAAAGTGGCTCAGTATTGAAAATAATTTTAAAATTAGGAGATTAATAACTCAAATGCAACCTGTTATTTATTTTCTTCATGTTTTTAAAGCAATATTCTGTAGTTGAAAAGATCTGTATTTGAATATGTAGCACCGGAGTGGTGGTTTCAAAAGTAGATGCAGCAGAACAACTGAAATGAATTAAAGTGTTTGTAACCATATTAAATGAAAAACAAATGCCCTGACTCTGTATAATTCGTTAATGGAAATTGTATTTTTGTCAAGCTGAGCTTCTTATGAATGCTGCAATTGACCTCTTCCTAATAAACCTACATAGGCTAAGAACCCATTCAATCTCTTATAAAAAGCATTAACTGAATCCACTGTGCTCAGAACACAATTAATGAACTTTAACCACTTAAACTGAGGGGGGGAAACAGATATAAGGCACCAGGGGTATCAGGCCTCACAAGCTTGTTGCTTTAGCAATAAATATGTTTGGTTAAAGTTAAATGGGTGATGAAAAGTGTCTTTAATTTAATTTAGTCAGTTTCTGATGTTTACATTACAGATAAGTATAACATCTTTTTCTATTCTATTTATAATAATAATCTTTCAAATTTAGATTTGAGTGGCTTAAAGGGTCACTTTCCCTGTATAAATATATCAGACTGGCCAAAATTTTCAGACAATGTATTGTATTTTGTACCAGGATATACTATATGTGATGCATTATTCAAGGGCATAGGAACAATTCGAAAAGTGTAGCAGTGACATATCAAGGCATTGAATAGTTATAATTATCTCACAATGAAGTGGAAATTTCTAAATGTGTCATAATGATTGCAACACCCCTGCCTTCACTGAGCGTATCAACAAATATACAAGAGCGCTTTATCTGCTGTCACAATTTTTCTGCCTCTCCTGTGAAATTACCTCCTGACCTTCACTGTGTTTTGTGTTTTTGTTCCACAGAGGGTTTGGCTTCATCACGTTTGCAGATGTTTCCAGTGTAGATAAAGTCTTAGCTCAACCACACCACGAATTAGACTCCAAGACAGTATGTATCACTTCATAACGTTTATTTTCTGTAACTGAGAATGTAAAGTGTGCATTGAAACAGATGTCATTCAGATGAAGTTTTTCCCACAGAATTTTTCATTTCCTTTCCCATCTCTGTTTATTTCCTGCTGCATTATTACATTTTTTTAGCTTGAGTGGACTGAGTTTTATGTACTTGCATAACAGTGCTTAACAATAGGAAAGGCCTAGGGCCAGTGTGTAAGAGATCGGAATCGCTATAGGGCCACAGGGCTCTACAGAGCCACCATTTCGGTCGCATCTGCTTCTGAAAATTACAGCGTTCGACTGGGTAAAAATTTATAGGAGCACTTGTGCTACTGACCCGATCAGGCCAGGTTCTACGGGGGTGCTAGAGAGTGCACCTCAGAATCCACGCACTTCTCAAAACGCTTTTTGTCCCGTGCTAAGTTCTGCACGGCCACGAATCCTCTCATTATAACAAACAAAGTGTAGAGACAATGCAAATAAGAGGGTCATTGTGCAGCGTAGACAACTTCATTGATTATACCGGAAGTTTGTGAGACTCTTTGCGCGCTTTCTAGGCTATACATAATCCATTCAGAATTTGAATAAGAGTTTTGTTTTTTGTGCTACTAAAAGGACCAACAGCCACTTAACTTGTTTTTGATATTTCTAATATATATGGTTCAATATCACATGAGCAAGACTGCGGTTTCCCCCAAATATCAGCACGATTGCAAATGTGCTGTTGATTTATTACAACTGTTTAATAAACAATAATTTAATATTAAGTGACATAGGCACAATATTGTCTGATTTTGCTCTATTTCATCAAAGTCACAGCTGAGCTTGCGCATGTTTTGTTGATGAATGAATCTGTCTTTTTGAACGAATCGGGTGAGTCAATGATTCAATGACCCATTCATAAAGACCGTCGCTGCATCCGAAATCAAATAGTTCCCTACTATATATTATGCGAAAAACAGTGCACTATTAGTAAGCTTAAAATACATGGTATTCGAAGAACAGTAGGCGAAAAGTCCCCAGATGGCCTATTACTTCAGGCGAGATTCTGAAGTGCGCATTCGATGGACACTTTACTATCCCATGAAGACATGGAAGAGAATTTATGAATGGCAGTGAAGCGACGCTAGGTCACATGACAGTAACAATATGGCGGATATAATACGTCTAAATTTAATTCAAACTACCCACATTCATTAGCCTGATGTCGTCATACTCAGATTCTAGGCAGAATGTGAGTCTGATACTGCTCCATTGGGCTGTGATTATGGGGTGTGTTTCAACCGAGCCAGGAAAAAAAATGGCTCTGCACTCAATTGGATAGACCGAATCCAGTAGGAAGGACGGCAAAAACATCTTTCCGATCTACAAATGCCTTGATCGCGATTCTCTGTTCTTCTTGTAAAATGAATGCGCCGTCTACATCTTCTATAACAGACGCGATGGCTAAATCTACATCTAAATTCTCCAGCGGCAGCCATTCTTTGTTGTAAACGAATTTAACCCAAGCGCTCTTTGGTGACGTGAATGGTTACGTTTTGTTGATCAGCTGTCCATCATCGTATAAAGCCCGCCCTGACAATTTGATTGGTCCGAACAGCTCTGGTTCGGGCATACTTGCTTCTCATCGGATCAAGTCCAGACCGAACTTCCCATCCTCAAATGTTGTGGGCGGGGCTAAGTTCGGCTGGCATCCAGGCTACACATTCATACTATAAAGAACATACTTTTTTTTAATGGTCGCAAAGTAAATTCAAATTCAAATGTAGTACCTACTCGGACAGTATGCGTTTTCGGACGCAGTGAGTCATTTGCTTTAAGCGCAAGAAGAGGCGAAAGAGTACTCAATTTGTGCAGAGTTTCACAGAATTGACTACTCTTTTGCATCTCCTTGTGCTTGAACGGACACGCACACAAAATTATGTCAAAATACCCGTCTCGTAAACATGGTTGGTTATGTCTAAACCAGGGGTCTCAAACTCAACTTAACTGGGGGCCGCTGGAGGTAGAGTCGGGGTCAGGCTGGGCCGCATCAAGTATTCCACAAAAAAATAGTATTCAAGTATTCCAAAAAAGGAGCATAACTGATCCAATCTTCTCAATCTTTATTGTTAATGTTTCTTCTGAACTGTTCCTCTGATTTTGAAAATTTCTTTCTGTACATGATTGGTTCTTCATGAGCTGTCCTTCTGACAGTTGAAGTTCATTTTACAAACTTTCTTTGTCTTTTCCTTATACACAACATCTTTGTGATTCTTATATATGCTTGCTCAGGTCCTTTTTATTTTCAATATAATATTGAATGTTTTTTTGGAAGGCACATTTCCTTTTATTATACTTAGAAAAACAATTATTGCTTTTGAAATATTATATATTTGCAGTCATGTCTGCCGTTCTTATTGAATTCTTTCTACACATGTATAGTGTTTCAGGCAAATTACTGACTTTGCACAAATCAAAGCAAACCTTCTTATCAACCTGTTGGACACATATTACAAGCTCAAAATGATTATTCTCACATTGTTTTAGAGCAGGGGTCTCCAACACGTCGCTCGCGAGTTACCAGAAGCTCGTGGCCTGATTGGTGGTAGCTCGCCAAGGGACCTGTTCACATATTTTGCGCGCTCAAGTTTGTTATTTCAAATGTAGGCGCGCGGCAAGCGCGCTCATAATTGAAGCATTTTTTCCAGGCGCAGTATGTTTGTACTTCGTGGTTGTCTATGACAACAAACCCACCGTAAGCGGTCACGAGACTATCTATGGTAGCCCATAAGGGATAAAACAAAAAACAAAACAAAAAAACCACAGCACACGCAATGACGGGCCGCACTAACATTAAACTTTAATGTCAAGTTGGGGGCCACAAAATATCACCCCGCGGGCCGGCCGCGAGTTTGAGAACACTGGTCAAAACGGTTGAGAAAGAAATAGGATGTGTATCATTTTATTGGATTCGTGCATCAGGTCAAAGGGACAGCAGCCCTGCTGTCTATGTCATCAAGATTAATCAAGCAACAAAACAGCTTTAACAAAGATTAATCTATATTTCATTAAATTCAGTGAACATTTAATTTTGACATTTTCTGTACCTGAATACTACTGTTAGACTTTGTTATATTGTATTTACATAAGCTTGTAATTTGTGTTTCTTATTTTATTACTGACTGTTCTCTCGTCTTTAATAATGTTTTTTAAGTAATAAATAGAGAGCAGTGTTACGTTTGCCAACACCCCACACCCAAACTTTTTTTTGTATTTTTTTTTTTTTAAACCAATCTGTGACTCAAAAAACGATAAATGATTCGAACTGAGTTTTGGGATCCGTTGCACACCTAATTTGTGAAGGAGGTGCAGAAAATGTTGGCAGGGCCATTACAAATTAACAACTTGCCCATCCTTATTGTTCTTTTAGTCCTGCATATGCAGTAGCAGTAGAATCAGCCATAAAACTCAACGCTGTGTGTTAACATGAATTTGGCATCTGTGTATATGATGTTTAGACTGACATTCACTCAAGGGCTCTGAGCCGAAATGTGTCCTTTCCTTGTTTATATGGGAAATAACTAAAAGATAACTGTTATAAACTCATCTGATCTCATTCTGAACTGAAGGGACACCTCTGGATCTCCCCTTTCTTTCCTTTCACAGTCACCTGGGACTCATGGACATTCACTTCCCACCCACATGGATTTGATGTTTCCCTTTGCATGTCTTCATATTGTAAACTTGCATTCTTCTATAGCATTAGCTTAGCTCACTACTGAACAATGAAGAAATTCCCAAAATTACCCCTAGTGTTTAAAATGTGAACATTCATAATGGAAATATATAGTTACATCAGTCAGTGTGCTGGCATTCTGAAAATAACACTTCTCTACTGTGCGTTGATTTCTTTAGTATGTTTAGTTTGTGGGGAAAAAAACAAAAACTTAAATGTCAGACAAACTACGCCGAACACCTGGAGCGACTACACCACACGCTGTCTTCATTCTCCAAGTCTTATATGCTCCAGAAACGCTTGCGTGTCTGATGCTGTCTGTAAATCTGACGGTAATGAATAATTACGACTGGCAGTGAGGTTTCAGGGCTGTGCTGTGTGTCACTCGTATTCAGCTGAAATCAGATTTCTGTGAGCTTTTTATCGCGGTGGGGGGTTGTTCTCTCGTCTCCTGCAATCAGCGCTGAGTTTTGTACAGTGTACAGGAACAGTAAACACTTTGAGTGATGTCTTTTTAAAGATGAACTTTTGATGGAGGATCTACCAGGCATATTTGAAAAATCATAGGCTCTGTCTCAAATTATTGAGTTGTCTACCTAGATGGCATTTTTAGAAACGGGCACATTTTGGTTGAAAGCTGGTTTAGGGGATTTGTTTTTGTAAGAAACGAGTCTCACTCTTCCTCTTTACACCTGCAGATTGCCATTTAAACCTGGTATGAACGTTTAAATGCATCTCCTGTGATTTGGATGTCAAAGGTCTAAAATAGAAAAAATAAATATGCTGAAAGTCTACATGTCACCTTAAACTCATCAGTTGAGCAGAACGTTCATCATTATTTTAGTCATGTAACTGCACTTTGCCTGTGCTTCATGTGACTGAAATCTTCTAGACTGTATGGTTATTTTGAGCATGGAACCAGCTCAGAGTACTTTACAAATGCAATGTGGAAGTTGTTGACTTCTAGCTAAAGTGGTTTTAGTAATCCAAACACAAAATGCTTTGAGCCTCTTTATACTTGTATGTAGCACTGACCGCTTGTGATAGGATCAGCCAAAAAGGATGTTAATACCAGATGTAAACCACTATCTGAAAGCAATAAAAGGCTACTAACACATTAAACTGCTACTGCTGAGATGGGAGAAGCTCAGTAATTGCTTCATCTGGAAATACACAGGACTTTATTTACACAATGTGTGCTCGAGTCTAAATTACATATTGGCTTAATAACTGCTGTCTGCTGTTTGGTTTAGATTATCACTAGGTTTTAAGATTTTTTTTTTTTGTCTGTGATTAGTTTGTCTGGCACTGCAGTGGTTTTGCTTTTGTTTTGACAAATCCAGTACCAGCAAGAATGGTAATACTTTTTAGTTTTTTTGTACTAATAGGCCTAATAAGTTATGACCTCTAATGTCCTAACCCCATAGACGCAGCTTATTGATTTCTAATCCGACAACTGGACCATTTGCAAATGCCTAACTCAAAAACCGACATCAGATTGTTTTGTTTGTAGACCCAGTATACACACAAATGTTCCTCAATTTATCTTTGCATTTATCAGAATAGGATGTTTGCTCTCAGGCTGTATGGAAAAAGACTCCTAATTTCTACTGATTTGAAATTCAAAGCGTAATATTGTTTCTGCTCACACTGGCTTGTTTCTATGGAGTAATTGAGGTTGAATTGGTTAAGCCTCAGGCTAATTGTTAAAACGAATCGCTACATGAAATTCATCACAGAGAAGGTTTCCATACCTGTTACAAAATCCATCTCTCTAATTGACCTGATTTGGGGAGATAACGATCACAGCTCAGTCAAATGGAATTTTGGGAGAATAAAAGGTTGCGCTCAGTGGACACCAGTGTCATTTCAGAGAATAATTACCCCGTGAGAAGCACAGTGAATTGACGTATCTATATTTAAAATGTGCAACATATGCATTATAGACAAGGCAGAAAAATTACTCCTAAGATTCTATCCAGCAAGAAACTGTGTGTGTTTTATTTAGAAAGCCTCTGTGTCTGTAATGATACACTTATATGCTGCAGAGCCCTCAGGCAAACGTTCAAAACTACACTAGGAGTTTTGCTACAATCTAAAGCCTTTGGCTTGCTGAACATGGACAAGTAATTTCCTGCAAGAGCCCAATTTCGATCTGTTTATGTTTTTCCTCTTGACTACGTCTGCCTGTATGAGATTGTTTGAAACTCCTCTTTATAAGAGGCTGTATTAAGGCTGAGGCAAGACAGTGTGACATTGGAGCATGAAATAGTTTCTCTGATAATTCTTTCTGTCTGCACACCTTCAGCAGATTGAACACAAACTGAAATTAACAAGATGACAAGCCAAAGAGTTAATGGCTTTGTTCCAGTGTGACCTATCCATGCTCCAAGTTTTGATGGTGTTGATGATTTGTATGAAATGATGAACGAGTGTATTAGAGTATAAAGTATGAAAGAGTGTATTAAATTTAGGTCTGGATAACTGCATTCAAATATGACTTTGCTTTTCTAATCATCATTCTCTCTCTTTCTTTCTGTTTGTGCACAGATTGATCCTAAGGTCGCCTTTCCTCGACGCGCCCAACCCAAGGTCAGAATTTTATAACTTTTGCTTGACGCTGACAATCTTTTTTGCTTTTGCGTAAGCATTGTTCATATTTTTTTTTTTTTTTTTTGTGCAGACCTGTGCATCATAGTGTGGAATATCAATTATGTGGTCGGTCAGTGATGCGTGTGTCCATCTGAAGTGATTTTCAGGGATTTGTGGGTAGTGCTATTAGTTGTCAGTGTGTCCGTCTCTTTTGTGCTAATGCAGTTCTTCCTCTTTACTCTGTAAATTGGTCTGAAGCTCAAAGTGTCCGCCCAAGTGCCGTCCACTCTGGCAGGTTCTTTCTTTTTTGTCCCACAACAAACACCGATCGATAATGGATTTTTTTTCTTGGTTTTGAGTGCCTCAGATTAGTTTTTTCTGTGCTGAATGGCTCAGGTTTCAGACAGGTGGAAAGCGCTCCGAATGATCCAGGGCATGTCTTCAATGTCTGTTGGCATGCATTTCCAAAATTTCCAGACAGTTCTTTCCCCTACTTTATTTGCCAGTTTTGGCCTCTTAAACCTTTTCTTTTGCAACATCAAGAACAGCTCAGACGTTTCCCCCCTCCTCAGGTCCCTGGATTCCTGTTGAAACAAAGAAAATGCATTTCGCTCCAAGGCAGCCCTGTTATTTTTTTTTATTTTTTTGGACCCCCTAAACAATATGAACTCCCCTGCAGACGGCAGGTTATGAGAACTGAATTGTTAAGTTCAGGGAGGCATGGACCGGTTTCTCTCTCTTGTACCCTAGCATAATTTCTGCCGTGTCCTTTTTCTTATACCACAAAGATGGATAAAGAATAATGTGCTGTTGTTTTTTTTTGTAAGTAAACGTAAAGCTGAGTGCATAAGTGCAGAAAGAACTGTATTTATTTTAGTGTGAAGCAGAGAACACGGATTTTAAGGGATCTTAAGGCAATAGGATTAAGGCAGATCTATTGGCATTGCACTGGCTTTTTTTTGTACATGTAAAATTGATTTTAGACCGCAAGCAGCTAATCGTTCTTGTCACACATCTTGCCTGCACTCTGCCTGAACGGTAGTGCTCGTGTTTATTTCTCAGTGTGAGGTCCATGTCCGCTGGAGACCGAGACTTTTTTTAACATGATTGCAGCTCTCCTGTTGTTTATGGACCCTTTATAGTTGTCCTGTGTTATTGCAGTTTGAGAGGTTTGTATTTAGGTTAAGAGAAATGTTATCATCTACACTGTTTAGATTGAGAGTTTACAGATGGGTGTGGTGACGTTAATGAGACTTTTAAGCAATGGAATTCTGCTTTGGGGTTGTAATTCCCTTGCGATGTCATCAGTGATGTCATTTACACTTGCAGAGTTGTTCCTAGCTGTTGTGTTTTGAGAATGTCTGCGTAACATGGAAGATGGGCTGTTCTCTCTTCTCCTGCAGACATTAGTGTCTCAGAAATGAGCTTGTCTTTGGTAGCCAAAGTGACCGTTTTCTCCTGAGATTTTTTCCAGCCAACATTTGTTGCCGCCGTTTATGCCAACAGATTATGGCATGTCCCGACATGATTTTAATTGCCACTGGGACTGTGGCCTCTTGTGTCGTTAAAAGAGCTTTGAAAGCTTGTTATGGAAATGGAAGCTAGTCACGAATCTCTTCAGAAGAGGTGACCAGCGTGATTAACGTTTTCCTGTCTGCCTCATTAGCATGTGCGCACTGAGAACTGCCACTCAGCTTTAAGTTGTCCCTGATTACTATAACTCATGTGAGAGAGCCATTTTTAAGTCGTTTAATTTTATGGTCATTCCTGCCTTTAACAAGAATGAAATTGGTCCAGAAAAGTCCAGTGTTTCTTAATGGATACTAAACATTTTAATGTAGAGTTATGTTAGGTGTTTGCAAATTTTTTCTTTATATTTTCGCATAGTTGTGTGCTTGCTGCTTGAATTGAATGTTGTTGTAGGGTGAGTCTGGGTATTGCAGAATAGAGCATTTTGTATGTTCAGTTCAGATGTCTTGCTGTGTTTGTTTGATCTGATTTAGCATGCAGGTACAACTGAGCAGATACTTTTATTGTAGTTGACATGCAGTAGTACACATATTGAGATTCATATCAAAAGTCGTATAAAGATGTATAGTGATCTCGAGATATATTCTTCCTTTAAGTTTCATCGAGGTAGACCGGTTTAAGAACCGAAAACACAAAGCGCTGTACGAAACTTTGCAGGGACACAAATATAACAGTGTGCTAAGCGATGTCTGTGTCGGCGGAGCACATTTTCTTTGCAGCTGGCCTTATTGATATCAGACTGAGCTGCCAATTTTCACCTGAGCATGTGGAAATTCTTGTTTTTCTCAACATAACTATGTGAAACAAAATCAACCCGATATCCATATGCAGACTCGACTGTATACGTTCTGCACGATAATTGGCGCAGTGTGCTTTATTAGTGTTTTTTCCTGTTTTCTCTGCTTGAGCTTAAATGCCTTTTTTCTGTATGTTTTTTTTTGTTTAGACACATTGTTAATGTTTTCAACTAAAAGAAAACCTTAAGATATAATGTAAGCTTGTTGTGTATATTTCTTAATCATAAGCTTGTTCAGAAATGGTGACAAACTTATGAGAAACTAACGAGAAATAACGTCTTTCTTGTTAAAGGTATTGTAGGTAGAAATTTTATAAAAAACTTTTTTCCAAATTTGTTTAAACTTTCTATATATATCAATGCATAATTAAAATGTAAGTACTCTGATAAAAAGAGTATAAAAATCGAGTGACTCTAGACCGTTTAATCTGCACTAAACACAGCTCATTATTTCCATCCGGGACGAAACAAAGGATTGGCTTAGGCGACTGTCACTCTCTCGCAACCATGGCAACCACCCTTTTGCCACACAGGACCTGCCCACTTGCGCGTACCTGTTTGATTTGAGGAATTCAAGAGGCGCGGAACCTAGGAATAGCAAAACAATGGCAGAGAAAGACCAATCAAAATTCACATATGCAGTTCGCGAAGGCAAACCAGCCAAAAAAAGGAAGAGAGTAACGTTACTAGAAAAGGTAATGAACAAAAAGTCTTTGGATAAACAACGATTTATCTGTCCTCGAGCTGACGATGCGGTACTTGTCTCTGGAGAGTGATTATCAGAGAGTTCTCATCAAAATCAACAATGCTTTCATCATGGAAACTCTTACATGCAGAACACCATATATGTTATGAATGTTACACGAAATTCATCTTCATCACAGTGTAAATGATGGCAATGGAAAAACGTGTATCATCATGCAACCTGTTTTTAGCTTTGCCTTATAGATAACTGGCTCGTTAGCAAATCAATAAATATATATTTTAAACTTTACCGGTATCAATATGCTAGCTTGATAGTGAGTACAAAAATACATCTTATTTGTTTATCTTCATAATGATAAAGTTAGATTTTTTTATTACATGTGATTCTGACATGATGTCACTACATGCACTGCGCTCCTTCCTCTCCGCTCGTCTCAGGTAAATAATGCGTCTTCAGCTCAGCGGTCGGAGTCGCGAGTTCATGTGTTTTGGGGCGTGGCTTTGGAAGGAGTCCAGAAGGGAGGGGGTGGAGTGAATGGAAATAATGAGCTGTCTTTAAAACAGTCGTGAGAGGTCTACAGACACTCGATTTTTATACTTTCTTTTTCAGAGTACTTACATTTTAATTATGCATTGATATATACAGAAAGTTTAAACAAATTTGGAAAAGAGTTTTTTTTATAAAATTCCTGCCTACAATACCTTGAAACTCTATTTAAACAAACAAAATAAGAGTAACTGATACATCTTTGATACAAGTGACTGAAATGTATTTGTCATTGAATCATTCATTCAAACTGATTGAATATTTGCAACACAGAAATAACGATTGTGTGATTTGAAAACACTGTTTGTGAAGCTTTCATACTAATTCAAGATAACTGCTGGATCACTGCAGATTTGAATGTTCCGTTGTGATTTTCTCAAAGGTTTAATCATGGACTACTTGCACTGAGCTTTGTGACACTCTTCCGTTTTGAAATAGCACAACTCATTTATTTCCGGTTGTATATGTTCAATGTGCTGTAGTCACCTAGTTGACTAAATTTCAAAATCTGGACATTTTCAGAGACAGGAAGAGAGATATTCTGATGATTACTGTGTAAAGAATTTTCCAAACTCAACGGAACATGAAGTCTTAAATCCAACCCAAGCCGATATGAGAAAGCAGCGGCTGTTAAACATATGATTATTTCACCACCACAGGGTGTCAGTGACCGCGATGCTGAAGTGTGTGAGACCTGATGAATAAGATCAGTACTACGAACATTTGTTTATTTATGTAAATTAATATTTGAATCACTATTCTGTGTCATTTTTCATTGTCAGTAATTTTGCTGTATGTAATTGAATATTAAGCATTTTGGGCATAAACACTTAAAAGTAGTTGACTGTCATTCTCCTCTACCCTGTGTGCGTTACTGTTTAAGATTAATTAAATATGTAACATCGTTCAATTTGTTTTTGGCACATACCATGCATTCATTCATTTAAATATTGAAAAGACTGGAATAAGAGCAGTTGATAAGTAAATATATTTATAAGAAGAACATTTCAGCAGGTTCAAGAAAATTCATGTTTATGCAGAGAACATGATTCATTGTTTTAATTAATTGACAGCCATTAAACATTGTAATAATCTGTGGTTTCATGTATGTAGGTGTGCTGAACGCTGTTACCGGAAACTCCCGAGTTGAAATAAGTGGAAAGTGGAAGTAGTTAGTTATGCAAGCAGTCCATAGACGCATACAAATTGTTTGTCATTTAGGATTGAGATTGCGTGGGTGTTTGAATCGAGATCGCAATCTTTTAATGATTAATGATCGTACTGCTCTACATTTAGTTCACAGTTTGAATGTTCTTCTTGTCTTTATTTTTTTTCAAGAACTAAAGTATCTTTTTTTGCTTTCAGTATGATCATAAATATGATTATCACTCAAAATGATATTTAAACTCACATTAAACCCTT